TCTAGTGCGATGTATTTTAGCAATTGCCGTTCTGCTGACCAAACAGAACTAAGTTAAGTTGTTAAGTTGTTGTTGTTGTTGGCAGCCAGATAAATGTCTAAAAATACAAACAAAGATACTCGAGATCATACAATGTGGGCTCGGGTTCCCTTCGGTCTGCCAGCTATCTGACCATGTCAGACCTTCTTCAGAACTGCGGCATTATCGACTCCGCCAACACTCGAGCATAATTGAATTTTCAGCATTTATCTCCAGCATTTATGTGCACTCTATGCTAGCACAACTATATACCCTATGCGTCAATTGGTATTGGAGGGAGTAAGGGTATTTTATAGCCAGTTACCCAACCAACCGCCCCCGCCCCGCCCCACCCCGGCCCAGCCCAGCCTTTAGCCAGTTAAGCACTTTGAGCTATAGCCAAGCGTAAAGAGATGTAAAGACATGCTGGAGTGTGCCACTCGATGGCTGGGCAGGTGAAGCCAGGAGCTGCCTTTGGCTAAGAGGCATGGGTAATGGGTCGTGGGAGTTAGGGAGTGGGTGGTAAAGGGGGGAAGGGGGGTTGCTGCGTTGCCACAAAATGCCAAACAAGCGTAAACTGCCATTTTGCCATTTCAAGTCGCAAGCATTTCAAGCACAACAACACTAGCTGCAAGTACATAAAGAATGCAAGAGCTCACTGCCAGATACCCTGTAAAACATTATGGCATACCTTAAGCTCACAATAGGCATAGTTTTGATAGTGTGCAGATTTCTAAAGTTTCTATTGAAACGTTACGTGATAGCAAATAAAACTGCTTTTCGTGTGTTTCTATAAAAATGCAAAATTATACAAGAATTCTCTTATGCTTAATAATAATTAAATTTAAAAAATTAAGACTCGGATAAATCATTAATATTGTTATAAGTCAAGTGAATGACTTAACTCAATTAATTAACAATTAAATGGAATATATTTTCGTTAATATTACTTTTAAATAAACTAATTAATGATAATATACTCGAGATCGGCTTCATATTATTCTATGAGCATATTATATACAATAAACAAATTAAAAATGTTTATAATATATATTTAAGCTATCAATAGTTCAATCTACAAAGAAAGAGACTCAACCCGAACAGAACAACCAACATCAACGGGCGCATTAATAGACGGCTAATCAATATGCCTGCAGCACGTTGCCAACATTTACTGCAGGGTATATTAAATTAAAACTGAAATTGTATGTGAAAATAAAGTATTTCATTATGCTCATAATTTTATTGTATGCATCAGCGGGGCCAGCGCGCATTTGCACGCATTTTAGTCGCATTCGCTGGCTGCTTTAAGTGCCACACCCACAGCTCTACCCCAGCCCCCCGTCCCGCTCGCTCCCAGCCACTTAATACACGCATCCCCTGGCCAAGCCAGGCAGCCATTCAATGATAGACTGTTAGCTGCTCTCCAGTTGCCCGCTTTTGGATTGCCCGCAAAAATTGGCTCAGTTGGATTTGATTAGTTCTGGTTGGCGAGGCTCGCACAAAAAATGTACGTAAACAATGGCTTAAAGGACATTTTCAAATGGGCTACAAGCTTAGATTTGGCAGCTCCTCAACGAACTATCCTAGCGCAAAATTTGCTTTCTTGCCAAGCTAATTAGCTTGCGGCAATTAACCCGCAAATTAAATAAGAGCTCCAAGTGCAAAAGTCGAGGGTGCTGAAAATTAAAATATTCTAATATGCATAGCAATTTTAACTCATTAGCTTGTTCCTATATATTAATATTGATTGTATACAAAAATTGTTTGCTGGGTTCGAACCGACGATTTCTCTCTTGCTGGTTCGACGTGGAGACACCTAGGCCCCGAGGGTGAACAATATCAATTGGCATTAATACACAAAACTTGAAAATTTCTGCTGGATTTGAACCGGCGATCTGTCTCTTGCTGGTTCTACGTGCAACACATATATACACAAATTAAAACATTGCTGTTGGATTCGAGCCGGCGATCTCTCGCTAGCTAGCTCGATGCAAAAAATGGGTCAGCAGCTTCTCATAGCTCAACATCCCGAACGAGTTAAATTATTCTCGAGCACTTGCCCAGGTGTTGTATATAGATAACGCCCATATAATTCCCATAGATATAGCCTTCACTTTTGGTATATGGACACGTTTGAAGATCAATTTAAAAAAAGGAAATAATACAAATTGATCAGACTTAACACAGAAGATAGGTCGGAGGAGCTGTTAGGTTCGTAGGATCGATAAACTTTGGAAGAAGTTGGGCCTGTTGTTAGGTTAAATAAAGGAATTTTGAATAATGCTGAGTGGATACCGTGGTACTACACAAAAACTGCTTGCATAGTAATAAAAGTCTCTTTTTGAATAAGTTGATATTCCATCAATTCGAATTACAAATTGCAATCAATACAAAACTTTGAAATAAAATTCCATGATATGTCCGACATGAATTGTCATGGGTTTTTGGAAAGTGTGAAAACTCATTTATTGCGCCGAATTTGATTTAGAAAATACAAATTTCTAGTTTTTTTTATATTCCGAAAAATGTTTAAACCAAATTTTCTATTTATATTGGCGATTATTTTTCTGATTGGCGTAAGTTGCACTGTGAGATCCCGCTTTGAACTTCGTCCTGATCCTGATCCTGATCCTGATCCCGCACATTTCAGCTAGATAATGCGCGCTCATCGCCACTAAATAAAAGTACGCCTGCCAACCCGGAAGATAAGACTTCGGGAGCAGCTGACCTGGACGACGAGTCCGTATACGATGATGAAGAAGAAACCAAAGCAGCAGCCGATGATAATGATAGCAACAACACAACAGCAACGGCTGTTGATAAGAAAGAGACCACGGCTGCGACGACTATTCGAAGTGAAAGGACGACGGCAACAGTTGACGAGACTGTGTCCAAAGCTGACATTGCAGATCCGAGCTCTTCGACTGTCATGCATTTATTTCCGCACAAAGCTACGGCATCAACGAATACGAAGCTCAGCGAGGCGGACGAAGATTATCAATACAAGGATCTTCCAGAGAAATCGAAGCCAAAAACTGTGATCAAGATTCCTATTTTAAGCGATGAAGGCGAGGAAGCAGCCCCACCAGCTGGAGACGCTGCAGAAGCCGGAGCAGAAGGCGCCGCAGCAGCTGGAGCGGAGGGTGCAGCTGGAGCCGCTGCAGGGAATGGGACAGCTGGAGCAGCTGGCGACGGCGGCGGTGGCGGCGGTGGCGGCGGTGGCGGTGGCGGCGCCGCCGCCGGCAAGGACGGGACTCCCAGCGGACCGCCCAAGTTTTTCAGGGATCATATGGGCAACTGGGTGTATAATCTATGGGGCGCTACCCTTGGCAAAGTCGGGCAAGATTCCCGCTATCCCGAAATGCGCACCATAGAGCGCTTCAAGATTGACTCGAATGCGGCCAGAAAATACTATCCAGAGTGCGTATAACTACAAAGTATTCCAAGTAGGTTCGTTTAGGTTTGGCGTATTTAAATAGTTCTTGATTTTTACATCTTTAGTATCTTCGGTCTGCATAGTCCGATCTTTGTGTAATTTTCAGGGCTTACAGATATCCGAGGAAAGTGCGTGTATACCAAAGCGCAAGGCTCTAGAGTTACAAATAAGATTATATTCAATTTCTAGGAATGGGTGAGGTATCCAAAAAAAAAAGTGAAATATTTTTCTAGTATATTGATTGAATTTTTATAAATTTCTCGGGGAATAGGGCGGGTTTCTAAAAATTGAAATATTTTTCAGCTATACGAAAGCCTACACGCCAGGCTCTTATAATATTCGATTTACTCGAGTATATCGATATTTATCGATATGAAAATGTATCGATAACTAGATAATTATTCTCGCGACAACAGTAAGCAATCGATAACTTTTCTTTACTCGCAACAGTGGAGAACTATCGACCGTTTGCATGGACAGTTCCACAATCTATAATGTGCCCCGTGTTAAAAATTGGATTGTACGAAACGTCTATAGCAAAGAGATTACAAGCCGGCCCATCTGGAACGAGCTGCGGCGTCACATCTTCACGAAGGGCAACTCCGATGAGTGCCACGACAGCCAGAAATATGGCAAGTGGAGGGACTATCAGGAGTGCGCAATCAGGCGCAACATGCGGCTGGAGCACATAATACCCATGTATCCCATGCACCAAATACGAAGCTAGATCATCTGTTGATGGCCTGAGCAAACCCATTCACAGTTGTCTTTACTATTCTTCATCTTTTTTTTTTTTTCATCGCAATGTTTTTGTTTTTATATTTTGGAATTTTTGTAATAATAAAATTTGGTTAAAATTATATATATACCGAAAACTTTGCTTGTTTGAATTGACTTGTATGCTCGAAGGGTGAGCTAAGGCAAAATAGAGGTCACTGGTTCAAGTCCTAGGCAAAAGACCTATGTCCCAAGCAGATCAATGGATATAGATATAGATTGACTCGTTGGGTTGCAGCAGCTGACAATGCACGACGAGCAGATACCCCGCATAAGGTTATTCAAAATAGAGGACACTGGTTCTAATCCTAGGCATATGGAAGGATGTTCCAGACTACAGATAGATGGATATCATGACTGCATATAAATGAATATACATTAGCTTAAAAAGGTTGCGAAAATGCACGACTAACATTTACCATGTATCCCACTACTTCTGATCTAAAAAACTCTAGCTCATGTAATCCTCGTAACACAACTAAAGGTAACAATCGATAGTTATCGATTTTGACGAATCTGGGCAAATGGATGAGTCACAACATTGCAAAATTGTGCTTCCTTATCCCTGTAATCTCTAAACTCCTTTTTCTAAGGGATACAGGGTAGAATTGCAGAGAAAATGTTAATTACTTTAAACGTTTTCTGCATACGTTCTCTTCTTCTTGAAAACAACAAATTGGACCAACTTACATTTGAAATTTGATTGAAAAATCTCTGAACTATAATCGGAAATCGTTTTGTTTCAGTTTATATTGAAGCGAATAACTGGCGTTAGGTTTAGTTCAATAAATACAAATTTCTTGTCACATTTATTTTTGAAATGTTGAGATTAAATTTTGGTTTGCTTATCTTGGCGATTGCCTGCCAAAATATCGTAAGTGTCGCCTAAAAAGACTTCTCCTCCATCAGCTGCATAACGAATCTCTATTGCAGGAATTACAAGCGGCAAAGTTGAGCGCAACAAGTCAGAGGCCGGATAATCTGTTACCCGCGGCCAAAAATCAGAGCTGGGGCATGCAGCTATTTGCACCGAAGGCGTTTTTACCAACGGGGCTTACTACAAAGTTTGTGCAGCTTTTCGCACAGGACGTTGGCCAAGCGGCAAATAAGACGGAAGAGGTCGGCGATCCGGCACAGAAGTTGGGAGGGGCTGACGCCGGAAAAGGCAGCGGTGCGCCAGAGGAAGCTGCAGCAGTTGGCAATGCAACAGAGAAGGCGGCAGGTGGCGATGAGGCAGGGGAAACGGAAGGCGCCGATGCGGCTGTAAAGGCGGCCGGCAGATCGGGGGGAGGCGCCGGTGCGGCAGATAAACCGGAAGTCGTCCGTGCCCGAAGCGGTGTTGTTGGCTACGCAACAAACAAGGACTCGGGCGAGGCGACCGTCTCATTGCCGCGGTTCATACAGGACGAAAAGGGCAACTGGGTGTACCACTATTGGGGCGCTACCTATGGCAAAATCTGGCGCGATACGCGCTTCGGCATCAACAGAGCTCGCACAGTGCAGCGTCTGCGGATTGACTCGTTGGCGATTCGCAGTTATTATCCCACGTGAGTATGAGCCCATTTATCCGCAGATTGCGAACGCTATCTTTGGCAAGCCGAAGTTAAGATACCCTTTTATTTTAATGTATATATTGAAATATTTTTTTCACAAAAGGGGCGCGCTCGATCAGGTGTGTTTGGGTAAGACAACGGTATATAATAAGCCCCGGGTGTTAGATTATCTGACCCCGAGAAAGTATTGGTTTTATATAAAAAATAGGCCACTCTGGGAAAGCCTCAGAAGGCAGATTGCCATTCAAGGCTCTTCCGAGGAGTGCCACAACCCAGACAACTATCCAAAGTTCAGAGACTTTCAAGAGTGCCAAATGAGGCGTAACATGCGAATGGAATATTTGATACCGAAGTATCCATTACACCAAAAAATCTGACTGCCGATGATTGCCAAAGTGTGCTGCGATGAGCGTCCTGCGACGAAACGGATGCCCGGTGTAGCCAAATCCTTGCTGCTGGGCGACAAGAAGTCAGTTGAACAGTTCCAGGCCCACCCCCCACACAGCCTGGCCACAGTCCGAAGGAAACTAATATTATCCGAAACAAACATAACGACTACCTCCAATTGCCCTCCGTCCAGACCAGAGCCAGGCCCTCACAGCTTTCGATTCGTGTCCTGGCTGCGATTGTGCGCATTATATAACACATATATTTACGTACACATTGCAGAGGAGGAGGCTCGGAGAGGAGAAGGGAGTGAGTGTGGGTGGGGATTGCCAGAAATATGTATAATTTATGTTGTTTTAAATCAAAGAACGTTATGTCCAGACAAACAAGCAATGCCCTGGGAAGAGGCAGAGAATGTCTGAAACGGGTATAACTGAGTGTAAGACGCTCGACTAGCAGACACCCTGTGCATACGTACTCAGATGTTTACAAATAATTGTTTGTATTAAGAATAATAAAACGTATAAAAACTTTGAAGACCTAAACCTAACCAGATCTTTACTTACAACCCTTTCTCTTTCTACATATCCATATACTTATATATATCGACTTTTGGATTTGGTTCTTTTTAGCATAACTCGAGGATTATAAGAGCTAGTTATGGCAAACTTTGTATGTAGCTTATAGTTGGGTGTACATTTATTAGGATTTGTTAACAGCCTTTCCCGATCCCCCAAAATTTGCTAAGAATCTCAACCTAAAAGGTAGAACCTTACGCCTTGGTATATAAACTCTGGGGTATGGCATATTTAAGCGGTCAAATTTTTAAAAAGATCGGACTCTAAGCACCGAAGTTAATTGGGAGCGTATTTCCCAGTGTCTAGGCTTAACTGAAGAAGCATAAAGTGCTGTGGAACGTTGGGTGCAGGGTATTCCCGTTCTTTTATTATTGTTACATACGTTTGAAGCGGTATATGCCACTCTGTTCTCAACTATTTTGGCACTACAGGGTATACAAACATTTCCCAAGACACATGTATGTGCGCAGATATAACGGAAGAGAGTCTGTATGTGTTTGAGTTTGTGGTTTCCCTAGATTACAAGCACAATTGAATGTGTGTGTGTGTGTGTGTGAGTGTTGTGTGTGTGTGTATGTGGCAACGCCCACCACATGCCACGCACATCAGCCAACCATCGACCGCCCCTAACGAGCATCGAGCATGTGTGTAGAAGTCCTTGCAGCTCCTTAGAGCTGGGCATGCTTCAGCTTCTGCTTCTGGTTATGCCTGAGCTGGCCGCTCGGTTCGAGTCGAATGCGAAACGATTTAATTTGTTTCGGAGGTAATGTGGCATATGCTCGCCCTCGGCCTGGGAGTTGCCACACAGATTGAGTGTTAAACATGAACAGAGAGACTCGAAAAGTCACAAATGGAAAAAAATAGAAAACCCTTCAGAATTTATAACACAGCCCGATTTGCATATTTATGAATAATGTGTGGATATAAGCCGAATCTAGCCCGGGGCCCAACTTGACTTTTGTGGCGTGTCTTTTTTCCACGAGGAAAACCAGCGAAAAGCCAATGACAGGTGCGCGCACACAAAAGCCCACTTTGGCTTTTCCATTTCTATAACCTTTGCATGACCACACGGACCTGGCTTGCTTATGTGTGTGTGAAATGGATACTCCTTTGCACACACACACACACACACACCGAGGCACGTGCGCATAGTCCAGACATTGGTCACGAAAAGCGGAAATGCTGATAAGAAATTTCAATGTTTTGTTTCTCTTATAAACATTTTCTTTTTTTTATTTCGTTGTCGTGTTTAATGTCTTTTTGTCGTGCTTAGTGTCTTTAGTGCTGTGCGTGTGTGTGTGTGTGTGTGTCCATATAATCTTTATATACATACATACACATAAAATACTAAGTTGCTGACCAGCAGCTCCTTAAGCATGAGACACGTCCTTCCAGTAGAGCTCTGCGAAATACACTCATAATGGGTTATACGTAGGAGAGGGTAGCTAAAGAGAGAGAGAGAGAGAGAGAGAGAGAGAGAGAGAGGGGGGCGGGGGGGGGGGGGGGGGCGTTGTTATGAGCATTGCATGTGATAGCTGCCAAAGGAGTTCAGGCTACAAGCCATAAGCCCAACCAAAATCCTTAATCTATATGGAATCTTAGGGAATTATGTGTACAGGAAAAAGTAGTTCATCGATCCAAATTCTGCTCTTGATATATATAAGCATATGATTTTGAAGATATAGTAAATGACAGGATTTTCATAAAATATTGCAAAAATAATGAAGCTTTAAATAGAATATACAGATAATAACTCGGGCTTGTTCGTGCCTCGAGCTTCTTCAAATTTTATCTCATTAAGAACAAAAGAGCTATAAAATATATTAAATAAATACAAATGAAAATCTTTGAAAACGAGTCATCAGTCGTTAAAAATCTTAAAAGATCAAAAGTATTGATCGCACAGCAAAGAAAATAAACAAAGGCATGTACTGCATCAGATCCCTCAACAACTGGCATTCCATTCATATTGAAATGTCTTGAGTTGAAACCAATTTGTGTCAAACTCTTGAATCATGAATCCAAGACTTACGATCTATTTTATGGCGCTGCGTCCAAAACAAATCTTAATGGGCAGCCATAAAGTGCACATAAAACGGCGACGCGATTCATAATTCGAATAGTTAGTCAATTTGCCGGCGCGAGTTTGAACCAGCGAGCGCAGTGTTAAGGGCTCAAACGAGTGCAGTTCCTGTGCGGCCAGCTGAGCGGTAATCTTCAGACAGCGCAGCAGCCACTTATCAAATTTCACACTCGATTTCCAGTGGAAGGCGTCGCGAAGTTTTCCATTTTCTCGAATTGGATGCACCGCAATCGCCGCCACGCATCGAATCTGTGCGACAGTCGCCCAGCTTGGGAATACCATATATGTATGTATATTAATTTATGTGCCCATAACAATTAGAAAGAAGTCAAGTGGTAGCTGCGGTTTCTCTGAGGGGGAATATTGGGAAAATATTGGAGACATTTAAAAAAACAAAATCGTGACTACACTCAGCAAAATAAACTAGCAGGAATCGCCAATTTTGTAAAATAAGTAAAAAATGTGCAAAACAAATAAAGATATTTTCTTATATTAAGAAAAATGTTCAATTTAAAAAACAAAATTGTGACTACACTCAGAAAAATAAACAAGCTAAAATCGCAAAATTCAAATGGGGACCAAGGCGAAAAAAAAGTATTGAAACAATTCATAATTTATTACATAAAATAAGTAAAAATTTTCTTTAAAAATATAATTAAAATTTTAAAATCTTTCTTTTTAATGGTCTTTTTTTTGAGTGTATATAGACAGTGGGGACACTTGAGGGCGAACCTCCTCAAGCGAGCACGAGGCTCGAACCCTCAGCCGAGCCGCTGTTACGCTGATGATTATCTCATATAGAAATTCACAGGCCTCTCGAGAGAGTTTTAAGGCAAGCACGTGACTTGTGTACACACACACACACACTCGCTCAGAGTCTAAAGAGACGCCGTAATTCAATTTGCTGTTGTGTACCGCGGGCATGTTTAATTTCATTTGCAGCGTATTTAAGCTAAAACCAAACTCAACCTTACCAAAGCGGCCAACACAATGAACCGGGTTGCTTTCGGGTGGTTCAAATGGTTCGGGTTATTGGGCTGTGGTCACGCAGGCGGGCGTGAGAGAGGGGGGTGAGTGTGCGCGCAAAATGTTCAATTTAAAAATTTATGCAATTATGAGCCGCAAATATTATTATATAAACACAAGCACAAATACGACAAGGAAAAGGGCACGACCTGACCGGGCGGCAAATGAGCAGCGGGCGAGCACAAGGCGACGAGTAACAAGTAGCGAGTAACGCGTAGCGAGTGGCATAAGAGAACGAGCGAGTGTTTCAGGTGGCAACATATTGATGGAGAATATGACATAAGATAGCTTAAACGTTTAGTAAAAAGGAAAATTCAGTTCGAGCAGCAAATGATCAGCGAGTGGCGAGTGGCAAGTAACGAGTAGCAAATGGCGAACTAGTGGTATTACGGAGTAGGGAGTATTGAGTACCGAGCAACGTGTGTCGAGAAACGAGTGTCAAGTAACTAGTGCGGAGCGACGAGTAACGAGTGACAATTAGCGAGCGACGAATAACGAGGCACGAATATCTCGTGACTAGTGCCGAGCAGCAAGTTTTGAGTTAAGAGCAAAAGATATAGATTGCCAATTAATAAATGCCGTTAAAATTATTCTCAAGTAACGATTGCCGAGTTGCAACTGACAAGTACCGAGTAGCTCTGTAACCTGTGACCAGCCTAGAAGATTTCCCTTTAAAACACATTAATAGGTAAAAAGTACTTCCAATGAACATTTGCACTTATGTTTAAGATTACCAGAACGTTAAATATATAAATGCTTAGGAGGTCAGCAGGAGCAACGAAAATACTTGTGTTGATTAGAGAACAGCTAATGCTGCATGATCAGCCGAGAATCGTATCGTTGCCAATATGCAGATAGACAATAATTTGTGTTCATTACATTTTGATATTATTTAAAGTGATTAACAAGACAAAGATGAAAAGCAGCGAGTGATAAGTGGCGAGTGATAAGTGGCGAGTGACGAGTAGCGAGTGAAATGTAGCGAGATGTGGTCTAGTGGCAACGCATAGACAATACTTTGCCTAGATTGTTTGCGTGACTGTTTCAAAGATTCCCAAAACAACAAGGCGAAGCATTACAGCTAGTTATGAGTTCCCATTGGCGAGTAGCGTGATTGAGCGCGTGACCAGCCCAGCAGCGTTTCGGTGGCAACATATTGATAGACAATAATTTGTCTTAATGAAATTTTGGTATTATTTATGAGATTGCCGGAACGTGTAGTAAACGATTTTCCGTTTTTCTTTTCAATTTTTTTTTTCGTCGGGGGATGTGCTCGTGTGTGTCCTAAGGCTTCAGGGCACGGCGAGAACGTCGTCGCTGGTTAAACAAAAACAAGCTGCTGTTGCCACTGTTGCTTCAGGATTGCATTGTTGTAGAAGGAGCCACCTTCCGCTTGCCCGCCAGGCAATTAGTGTTACTTGCCAGCTACCCCCTTTAGATTTGTGGCCTGTCGTTAGGGTTTGGGGTTGGAGAGTTGGACTCAGCCACTTTGGTTGTGTTCAGGTTGCCCGGCAGGTTGTGTCTTTTATGTGCTGTGTGCATAATTTATTGTTTTTCTTATGCCAGAGAAAACTCTGTCTGGAAGCCCCGTGTTTCAATTATCACATTTTCACTACACAATTTTCTCCGGCTACATTTGGAAATGTTCCTGTGTAATTAGATTTGCTTTTTGCTATTTGCTGCTGTTGCCTTTCAAACGCCTTCCCATTGGCAACCACAAAGCATGAGTCCGAGCGAACACTCACAAGCTCTTAATGGGGCTTCCCCGCTGCGTGTGCGTGTTTATATTGAGAGCGTTTGAGCTTCGTCCTTTTGACTGCTGTGTAAAATCTCTATCAAAATCTCA